TATTATCATCCATTATTGATTGGTGACGTGCTTAGTGATTAATTGAGTCTGATTAATTGAATGAACCATAGTCTCTTGGGATTCGATCCTTACTTGCCCTACTACACAGTTAGAAGGAATAGTTAGGTTATTTTTGTTAGGTACGCGATAAGCCTATCAGCTTATCATCTGAAACAATCGTTGTAAGTTGTTCATGAGGTCTCATTTGTATCAGCTGAGAGTTAGGTAAATGTACAAGAAGAGGTAGAACTAGAGGATACATTTCATATAAATCAAAACCTAAAAGACGCCATGCAGCCTCACAAGGTGAAACCCACCGTCCTGATTGAAACAGTTCAATTTCATCATGCACAAGTACACCATCTTTTGTCTGAACAACATTGAAAGATATCCTGCCATGACCTTTATAAACATACTTATACAGATACTTAATTGCTTCAATAGTAGAACAAACTTCAACATTCAGGTGACAATTGAAATATGCTAAAAGGTATGGATTATATGGAATCACCCATGTGTTATCCATTTCAACTCCCCCGGACTTTAACAGTATCACATGTTTCTCTTCTTCGATACAAAGGATATCCATTATTGCTACTTTTTGTTTCATCACAGTTTTGTTTTGGATAACCATACTTGCATTTGCCACGATTCTCTTTATGTTTCATGCAGGGGCATTCCGGATTCAAATGACCACATGGTCCATGCATCATATGCTTGATCACAATTTCCCTTAAGTATCCATTTTCAACATATGGAATTTCAGCACAGACAAATTTATCAAACTCATCAGGAGACTTGATTTTGAACCCAGATTTCAATATAATGAGAAAATGAGCATGTGGTAAACCTCTTTTTTGAAATCCAATAACATAAATCAGTGCAGATACTTCTCCAAATACCTTTTTCTTTCGAATTAAATGTTTTAAAGCAAGAACCTTTTCTCTAAATATTCTTGAAACAATATCTGGCCTATTCAGTGCTTCTTCTCCAATAGCAAGTTCTTGTTTAATTTCAGGCCAATTGGGATTATGTCATTGTTATAAATAGATCAGGCTTGCCATACTTCTGAACTAACGACATTGCATTTAAGTATCGCTTCTTAAGATCACGAGGACCACCTATAAATGTGGCAGGTAATATGACTTTCGTACCAACATTTGCTGCACAAACTTCTCCACAATCAATAGTATCAAGAAGACCCTGATAAAGATCAGCCCTTATTGTCTGTTGATTCCTTCGAAAGAAATCCAAGCGCGTATTTTTTACCTTGACATACATATCAACAATATATTGTTGAAAACATCTTCCAGCTCTGACTAATAAATTTCCAAGGCGACACTGAAGTTTATAAGCATAGTATTCTCGAGTTGAAACATGCCTATCCGCCTTAGATGATCTACCATTTGCACCTACAAATCAACAATTGAAAATAAAAAAAAAAATTTAAAAAAAAAAGGAATTTAAACAAGAAATCTGAACATCGTCTAATTTTATAGCTCTTCGTTGACAAAGGTGCTTATACAATAATAAACATGAATTCGTTAATATTAATGTTCAAATCACTTCAATACGGATAATTGAATAAAGTTCATAGCATTACCAAAAAATTAAAAAAAAAATACTTGTTTGTTGAACTCTAATCTTTGTTTTTTTTTATATACATTTGCATCATCTACTTCATCACTTCCAATTTCCAGACCTCTTAGACGTTTAGTTTTGTAATTATTTGATGTTGACGATGCTTGTAATAAGCGATCTAAATTATCAATAACAGACATAAAAATGATAAACATTATAACCCAAACTTCCTGAATATAAATAAAATTTCTCAAATTACTTGAATATAAACCAATTTATTCTTTAAAATTATCTTAAACAGCAAGTTACTCACTCATTTTCCAAAACTATATGAAAATTCCACGATACACTGTCCTTGAAATTCTCGTTATATCAACTATTCAATAAATTTTGTGAACACAACTTGTGATCCGAATCCCCTGAATTCATATAACAAAACAAGCAATAATTAATGTAATTTTGGTAAATTATAAAAGCAAATAATTGTGAAACTCTTAAAATAAAAGTCGACACAAAAAATTCATTATCATAGAATATATTTGATCCATTTCATCAATTACATAACCATATGTCTTAATACAAGCCCCATATATGTACTAATAAGAGTTCATTACATAAGCACTTCAAAATCTGTCAACAACAACATACATCCACAAAACATTTATACATTTTAATTATATCAAAAACTAACTTAGACTCCACTCCTACTACCCCATCCCATCCCAAACTTAAAAAGTCTAATCCTTCGAAAACCTTATACGCTTCAATCGACCATGTAAATCTTCTGAGCCTGCCACCTCTGAAAACACATCACTGCTAGATTCAGCAAATCCTGATGATTCTGAAAGTTGAACCCCTAACATCAGTATCATTGAATGTTACATCATGTGAAATAGGCACTGCTCCTTCAGACTTCTTCCCTACACCAGCTAAGCATTCCTGTTCTACAAGTCCCGTTGAAGGTTCTAACGGCTCTGTAACTCTTAACACTCGCTCCTTTACACTTAAATAACTTTCCCTTTCCAAAACACACAACACAGCATCAAACCTACAAGTCGTTGCCCTATAATTAGCATCCACTATCTCAAGATTACACACATCAATGAGATAGTCAACAACTTTCCTAGAAAGATCTTGCTTAGCCGCATCTTGGCTTGTACAATAATCACTAAACAAACACCGAAATCCTGAACTATTCTTATGGTGGATGATGTTAAACCATGAAATATACTGATTAGGAAATTGCTCAATAGTTTCAATTGGAGTACACTTTATATCAACACACTTTAAAACAGACCTTAATACTTCAACAAAATCAATAACAACTTTCTTCTGATTGATACCAGATTTAGTGCAAATATCTCCATGAAAATAAACCTTAGATTCTCCTTTTTCAATTCCCTCCAATTCCTCTTTTTTATAACTATACAATCGTCCACAACGTTCAAACATTTTTTTTCCTGTAAGGATGTTACATCATCGACAATTATATCATGTTTTTTCATCAGATCATACACTGCTTTTCTTGCTGCAGTTTCACACGATTCATCTACACTATCCAAATCTCCACCGAGGTAAACAACAGGAACATCACTAATATCACTCCTAATAGCCACACAAGCAATGCTTCTCCGAAGATTGAGATATTGGTATTCTGGATCAGGGAAGTTCAAACATCTGGTAATTTGCTTCAACAAAGGACGAAACGAAATCACTACTTGTGTGAGTGGAGCATCCATAACCTGTAATAAAACATATGATCAACCAATTTAGACTAAGGTCAACCCAAATAAGATACAATGAAAGTTATCACACTCAAGCCATTTCAAACTTCTTTCTATAGACCAATAAATATTATACCACCTTCATATCCTACATTTCTTTACTTGGACCAATAGACAAAGTTCAACATAATTTACCCTTAATACTCTACAAAAAATACATACAAAAATCAGAGTATTCAAAATTTACACAATCACAGAAATAAAAAAAAAATTAAGTCCTCAAAATAATATCAACTGACATACAAACTCATAAACAAAAAAAGCTAAATATCGACAAATCATAAAGAAAATCATGTCAACTTCAACCCATACGTTTCGAAAACAACCACAACACTGAATAGAATCCCTTCAGCACCACATAAAGAGCTCATATTATCATTTGTTCTTCTCAGTTTCAACATTAAACACATCATCTAAATTATCACAATGTTACAATATAAGTATAGAATATAAATCACTAACCACAATTATAGCACGCTCCATATATACCTATGACTAATTTGCAATTTATTCATCTAAATTATACCCAATTATAAATATTAGCAGTCTAAACCATAAAAAAAACCTCAAATGCAAACAACTCTTTGGAATTTCCAATCCATTTAAAACACATACATGCATGCCAACTCTCAAACCATAATAACGAAATCTTAAATAAATTATTAACACTATAAATTAACTTCACATATGCATGTGCTAAACAATGCAATCAACTACTTTAAATATCCATGCATATCAATTTTCGAACATCAGAATGGAAATTCAAGACACTATCACACAAAAATCACATAATAGTTACTGCAGAAACTTTCATGCATACCAAACAATCAAGAAACAATGAACAAAATACAAAATTCAATTTCATCCTTAAACTCCCTAATTATTTAACAATGCATGCAAAAAACGTAAAAAATTTAAATTCAATTTGAACTCCCTAAATATCACAGAGTGCATGCAATAAACATACCACCCCTAATTTCAAAATATAAAAACAAACAATCAACAAACACTCAACCAAATATAAAATTCGAAATCAAATTCAACCTCTAGAAAATTAACTCGAAAAATATAATGAACAAATTACTGAAAATTAAATTAGAAATAGATAAGTAATTGCAAATTACCTTCGATCTCAGAGAAAAGAAAACTTGAATGAACAACTTCAAGAAATAGAATATATTTTGTACTCAAACAAACAGAGAATGTATATATATATATGAGATCATAATAGAGCTACAAATATATCTAACCCACCCAAAAAACACATGCCTTAAAACAAGGAAAAAAAGATAATTTCTCATGCAAAACCCCTAATGATTCTTAATGTATATAAATCAAAATTAAAAACCAAAGAAGTAGGCAAAAGCAATGGCAATTTCGCAAATAGCATCAAAAGACATGAAAATTATGGTCAAGGCACTATTCCTTTCGAAAATCACTTTTCATTTTTGCTAAGCATTTTGATGATGTGGTTTTTCAAGGGTAGTAGAAGTACATGTTATTTTTATAAATGCATGTTTTTTTTTTAATGCATGATGTTGAAGTAAATAAGTGAATAACGAACATATTATTTTAGCAAAATAACACAAGATTTTATACAAAATAACATAAGATTTACGCAAAATAACTCAAGTATGGCGACCAAGATCCAGGGATATATAATAGGATTACAGGAGTACACGATTTTGTCTTGAACGTTGTCACTTTCCAATTCTAAAAAGTCGGGTTGGAAGTGGTTAGGTTCTCACTTGATCGTGTAGGTTCGGGTTAAAGATACACTAAGCAATTGGTGTCTTCTACATTGTGCCCTTCTTCAAGAACACCATCAATCGTGTCTGTTAGTGTCCTGCAAATTAGGGTTTATCTTCACTGAAAAAATTGGGCATTTTTTCTACTTCTCTCTCATATTTTGTTAAATTCGTACGATGAAGAACGCTAATCTCAAGAACAACGATTCGGGAGAAAGAGGTGGCTTCAATCCCTATAACAAAATGAACAACAACAGTAAGATTAAGATGAAGAAAAATATGCAGAGATTGGGAGGCACTGGTCTTTCTCTTGAAGCATTTGCCAATGCTAAATCCAAACAAAATTCATATAATCCTGCTTTGTTAAGTATGTTCCTCTTTCTCTACTCCTCTAAATTGCTGTCTTTTATGAATTTCTTGTGATTTTGGTATATGGGTATTGTTCTGATGCTTGATTTTTGGAAGAATTTAGAGTATTTTGACCTTTGATGATTTCATGGTGCTAATTGTTTTTGGGTTTCGATGATATGCTTAATTGATTATTGATTGTGGAATGATTTCTTGTATTATTCAAGGCCTAAAGCCGCCAAGCCGGTTTCGTGGCGTTGTAATTGGACTAATTTTGTATTGGTTGTATGACATATTGGATGGGGATTGACAATTCTAGTGAGGTATTTTGTTAGCTTTGGGTATAATGGTATTGAAGAAGAAGAAAATGGAGAAGTTGCTTTTCAAGATAAATTATGCTACTAATTAAAACCCTAGAAGCATGGAGAGTCTAACTTTATGCCTTTCTACAATGACAGGAACTTGCTACTAGTTAGTAATTTACTCCATCAGTTGATTAAGGAATAGGAACTTGCAGCATACATTGTGGTTGTGCTGTTTAAGAGCCGAGCAATCTTTTCAGTGTTCATTTTAGAGTTTAATAGAACCAAAATTCCAATTTGAAGAATCTCTTTCTGCTTGTTTCAATCAACATGTAAAAAACAGGATGCAACTTACCTGCAGTGAGAACACGTCACAGAGTTTGTCTTAATCCAAAGTCTCAGAATTGATTGTAGACACAAGAATCTATACTCATATGATATTAGAGATGGTCTTATCAAATATGTACCAACAAAGTTTACCTACTACCTTTAAGCCCGATCATAGAAGCTTTTCTTCTACTTTTTTAAGTTCAGCTGTGAAATTTTATGGGTAGTTTAATCAATTTAATTTATTTGATGAAAATTTATTATGTCCTTGCTGTTGGCCTCAGCCTGGGACAAACAGGTTTAGTGATTTTGTGGTCTTGTACTCCTCTTGCCAAGAATTTTTACTTATGTTCAATGAGATCTTTTGTGGCGGAATGATTGATGCGTTACTGCAAATCTGCAATTCATATCTTGTGGATAGCAAGCAGGCTTGTAGAGTGTGGTTTAGTGACTGGACTTTTCTATTTCCAATGAGCTTGATGCCTCCACCCAGATCATATTGTAGAAAGCTGGTTTTCTATGAGTTATGGAAGTGAAATATTGTGATTTATTGGTCTTGCAATGTGTCTTCGTTTAGGGATCGAGAAACATGATGACAGTAAGGCATGTTTTTTTGTGTGCTTGTTTGTTGTGGGGGAAGAAACAATTAATCTATAGGCCAATGATTTTTACGCTTGTGTTATTGCATATTAGTTGACTCAGACTTAGCTGTTCGTAAAAGTGCTGGACTGTAGACATCTTATGGAAGTTTTGCTTTTTCTGTCAATGATACAGGTCTCGGTCAAGTGTCCATACCCCAAATTTGAGTGTTTCAGTATTTAAGTCTAACACAAATCTGAGGTGGAATAAAGAGTTTGACATAGGATGTGTTGATTGAACTCCTTGATTTGGTATCTTTGACCCTTCACTGAGGCAAGAAGATTCTGCTTTAAATTTAAAATTCTATATTGACCATGTAAGAAAAATAGTAATTTCCTATCTGCTGGACTAGAATGGACAAAGAGATGGCTAAGGACTATATTTTGAATTGTCAGGTCTATATGGAAGCTTATTGCTTTTGCAGTGCTTGACATGCCTTGCACTTCCCAACATGTAATCCCGATGCTGATCTGATTAGCGTGATCCTGTTTTTCAGTCGTATGCTGAGTTGAAAAGAGCCTTTTCTATAATTTTATGTATATGTATTGGTATTGCAAATATATGCTACATAGTTAAATGTTGACTGGGTTTTGATTTGATTATATCGGTGATATACTAATGTATATACATCTTTGCATCACTTTAGAGAAGAATAGGGAATTTTACACGAATGCCAAACATGTAAGCAAGTACAAGAAATTGCTGAAGCAACAAAATCAACCTAATGATCAATCCATATCTGTTGAACCTGTTGAGGTATGTGTTCTTTTTTGCTATTTTAAACTGAAACATTGGCCTGAGTGTAACATGCTATCCTGGCTCACTTGCAGGAGAATGATGGTGGTCCTGGTGAGACAAGCAAGGAAGACAAGAAAAACAAAAAGGGATCATACAGTTTGCAAGAGTTGTATGTGAAGAAACATGAAGAACAGGAGAAAGCAAGGATGGAAAGGGAAGCCTTCTATAAAGCAAAAAAGGAAGAAAAGGAAAAGGCTGAATCCCGCAGGAAAGATTTACGGGAAAAGATGTTTAAACGAACACGGAAAGGTCAGCCTGTCATGAAATACAGAATTGAGCACATTTTGGAGACCTTGCAGGGTTCTACTTCAACATCATAGCTCTCTGCTTTTTGAATGGAGCTTCTAACTGCAAAAAACCGAATGATGGATCAGCTCCTCTGTTCATTTGATGTATCTCTGTGTCTAGAGGGACATGATGATACAAGTCATTTAAGTTGATTCTGGGAGATGTGATGCTCTGTTGTAGTTAGATTGTCAGTTCTTGCCCTTGTAAAATTTTGCTCTATAATGCATAGCAAATTACACAATTTTGGACCAATCTTTATTCCATTTTTTTTTTTAATTATTGTTTCAATTAGTTTCAATATCCTTGAATAGTAATATTTTAATAGGGTAAGAAAGAAGACTATTTGCGCTGGTGCAATCCTTCAATTTCAGCATTCTTTGAAAATGGCAGCTCCTTTATAACTTAAAGAACTGGAGTTGCTCAGTCACTGATATGTATGGCTGCTACAATATGTGAAAATTCAGATTGGTGTTTTCTGTTATGAAAGTCTCTCTAATTGTTTCCTTTTTACTATATAACAAACCTCAGCTTCATACGAACTTGCATCAATTTGACTTACCCAAATCTAAAATTTTGTTAAGAGAACCTCTCTAGTTTTCTCTGGTTTTGAAGCTTATTTCCTAATGTAAGAAAACCTATGTTTGTCATCATTCTAAATTAAGCAAGCATTTTGATTAAACATGAAATTAGAACAAAATTAAAAATGTGCTTGCTGAAATACACACAGCTTGTGACGATTGCCATTTCTTTGTCAAATTTTTTAGGCATCGTGATCTGTGGCATAACCATGAATAATTTCAATTATCCTTCCTATTTCACAGGCTATCTCTACACCATAATGCAAAATAAAAATGTTTAACTTTCTGATTTTTTTGCATTGAAGGTTTGTTTGTGACATTGATTCTGGTGGCTCAATCTTCTTGATACTTCGCCATATTCATGGTTAGCAGAAAATCTGTTGTATAGGATAAGATCGGACTAGATGGCAAATCCTCCCGGGATATGCAAAACAATCTGACCCTGGGTAGATAAGGTATGTTGTGCTCGTAGTTTGGATAGGTGTGATGCTATCTCATATTAGTCATATACTTGTAGTAATAGGGATGGCTGTGGTACTGTCTTGAATTATATGGTTATATTTTGAAGTTATGATGGCTGTGAAGTACCAGAATTAGTACCTCCTGGAAAATTATATATCATTGCTTCCTTCTTAATCTACCCTTAACTAGATATTGTATTACAAATTGGATTACCTTTAACTGGTCACCAAATCACCATTGTAAATGAAAAGGGTATCACTTCATCAGGAACTCTGGGAACTTTCAAATTGCTGGTTATCTTTCTGAACTTGAAGGCCTTTAACTTGTTTTTCTTGCAGGATATTGATAGTTACTGAAATATCAGCATCTAGTTTAAGTCCTAAAACATGACCTGGGCTTGAACATAGTGGATATTACGGTACATTCTTATGCTTTTATTCAACAAAGTTCATTTGCGATTGATCATATAGAATGGTTTGAACTACGTTTCTGTAAATTTTGGATTATGAATCAACTGATTTTCAGATAATGTTTTTTTTTTGGAAATTTTGTAAATTTTACTCCATCATTTCAGATCGAGCTTCAAAATATTATAAATTATGTAGTGTGTGATAGCTTCCTTAATTTTATATTGAATCCTGGCGAGACAAATTCTTTTTCAAACATGGTGAACACTTGCACAGAGCCACATACAATGCGGTATATAACAGTTGCATCAGGAATATGAAGTGGTTCACTTTAGCTCTCATGATGAGGCAGAATAGTTCACATCATTACGCTAGAAAATACAAGTTCGAAATAAGACCACAATGCATTAAGAGCAACAAACACATGATCATGCTGTTCCTTTTTGGCTGCATCATGTATCAACATCAAAGTCAGCAAATGCTTTAGTAGTAATACAATGTGATATGCTGCAAAATTAAGCACCATAAATTCTCTATTAGCTACTTCAAATGGCAGCACTGTGAACATTGACTATGCTGCTGCTTAAGATTGAGCACTTAAACAGCAGCATCTGCTCACATTAAGATTGAGAATTGTTGGGCTGAGAATTTGTCTCTGATGAACTGATGATCTCTTCAAACGTTTCCATGTCAATGGTCATACCATCATCCACTTCAGCATCTACTTCGGACATTACTTCATCCCTGTCTCCTGTCATTGGTTCCCCACCATTTTCTACTGAGTTGGATTGTGGAGGAGACTGAGGCTGAGGTTCAGGTTGAGACTCGGTTTCAGGTTGAGGCCCAGCCAGAGGCAGGGGCTGGGGCTGGGGCTGGGCATCCTCAACCTGCTCTCTTGAGGCATCTGCTAGTTGCACAATTGGGGGAGGATATGAATCCGTGGATTTCGTTAGAGTACTAGTCACCAACAGGTTCTGTAAAACATAAAATTACCTCACAGATTAGTAGGAAAGTCTACAAAGTTATAGAAAATAATTGTAGACAGTAAGCACAAGTCACAAATTATTTATTTTATGATACTAGGTTGTACTGTGTCTATATCACAACAAACATTAGGAATGAGCGAGAGCACCACAGCTTCAAAAGGAAGCTCAAAAATCAAAACATCACTGGAAAGATTCACAGAGTAAAGACCAAGCTGACACCGAAATTTTGCCTAAAGTCATGATACTAAAGAATCGAGAGGATGCTTTCTCCAGGAAACACTCTAACCGCAGACACAATCAGTAGCTAAAAGGCTCCCAAACTAGCTAATTTGATCTTGAATTTGTATCAAATATCACTCTCACACAGAGCAGAGCTGTAAGCTTGTTTCAGGTACCTAATTCTACAGACTTCAGTACCACAGTGGTTGGTTATTCTGCTTATTCATAAAGGATTCAGACAGAAGCAAGATTGCATGAACAGAAATGATTGTTGCCAACAAAGAGCATCCCTATGAGAAGTGATTGCTTAAAGCAAGCTAATTTTGCTTACTTGAGCATAGATATATTTCTATGTACATGATTTATCAGTAATATTAGATCGATACAATTAGGTTCTACATTCAGACCTAATTCTAAGAGTCTTAGGTCTGAATTTAGAACCTAATTGTATCGATATAATTCTATGTACATGATTTATCAGTAATATTATATAGTGCTTCCTATTATTAATATATTTAGGCACTAATGATGACCAAACCATATTGGGACAGAAAGAATTTTCAAGAAGCAGATAGGCAAGTAATTATGCAAAGTGAGAAGCGATAGAATTATAATATACCTTTTCTAATGCCAGAGCAAGTTTTGACAAATTTGGATAGATAGTCTGCGCATCCAGTAATATCTGTTCAAGCACAAGGTCAACTTTCAATGCCCATAAAGTAAGCCGCATCAAGATTAGCAGAAGATGGTGTAAAAAAGACACAAGCAATTATACATCCAGGCACAACACCTTTTTTTTCAATAGACAATATAGGTTCCCCTGGACATCGGGGAACCAAACAGTAAATAATGTGACGTATTACAGAACAAACATTGGAAAAATATAAAAGTCTTCAGAAACTAAATCATACAGGATATTCCCAAAAAACTTTGAGGGATATCAAATGGTAAAATTACATGTCTGCATCCTCTTTTGTCGTCTACCTATTAAAGCATAGAGGATATTCCCAAAGAACATTGAAGGATATCAAATGGTAAAATTACACGTCTGCATCCCTCTTTTGTTGTCTACCGATTAAATTTCTAGAGTTGGAAGCTCTTTTCTCTTCTCCACAACTCCACATAAAGAGCAAGGTTAAGTATTACTAACCTCCAATATGGATTTGAAATATCTTTGAACAAGCCTAAGTAACATAAAGAGCATAATAAATACCAATATATTTTCCTAAACAAGCCTAGGTGCTTGTGGAACTCTCTTCAGGTGTTTCATTCCATGTCATCGCACACAATTAAAAGAATTAGAACATGCTTTGTTCTTTGTACAAGGTTTGATGTTGGGACCTCAAGTTTATACATTAAAATCCTATTCGCTAAATCATGCAATATTTGATGTTATCCTTTTAAAAATATCAATCAATGAAAATGTATTGCCTGGGCCTAAAGGCTAGTGGTACAATACACTGTTGCTACAGCTAGGTTTAAATCAGCCCATGCAGTTTCATGCCTAATTGAATTACGAGTATAATTCAAAAAAACTACTGCACCTTATAAAGTTTATACCAGAATGTGTTCAATTCACACTGTCAATACGAAGAAACAGTAGTGCCCAATAAAGAGTTCTCAGTTTTACAGCTCTCACATTTTAGCTCTTTCCAACATTAAAAGATGATATCAAGAATGGCAAATGGCATCACTAAATAGAACATATACATGTTTAGTAATGAGTCACAAAGTCAAATATTTAGACCCAAATTCTAAACAGCAAGAGAATTGGATAAATAACAATATATACTTAAATTATTTTACAGTTACATATGGCCATGTGGGACAGTGAAGGGCCTTCATTATTTTCTGTTCTGTTATACTAAAGTTCAGCATCATCCTAAATTTGAAAGGCTTAAGTCTGACCCAGATTACAAATGCAGTTAAGTAACTAACAGGAATAAACTTCTAAGCATTAAAAAATACAAAGTAACTTGAGCCTTGATGCTTCAGATAAGGGAACTCTTAACTATTAGTACAAAAGTAAAACAATTGGCAAGGATTTTCAATATATAATAATCAATTACCTCACAAAGTCTTTGCAATGTGAATGGTGGCCCATCTAGAAAGCTGAATAGAGCTGTACGTAAAGAGAAATGCTTCAGAAATGATAATTTTATAAATCCACTTTAGTCTTTTTCCTTCAAATTGGTATTGGAGTCAACTACATTACTTTGGTTCCATTCAAAGGAAAGTCCATCAACAACAGATAATTAAGAAAAAAAATATACAAGATACACAATTTCTTTGAAATAGTTAGCATACCGGCATTTTGAAATCATGCTATCGTTGATATTAATAATTCCTTTTTAAGTAGCTCCTTTTTAAGTAGCTCCACATGCTCCTTAATCACATAACCATGCAAACATATTGCCCAAAAGTATTAAAGTAGTTTGATTCCAGATTCCACATATGTAATGTCTTAAAACCCCTAGTTCTCAATGCCTCCTAACAGTATTGTGAAGGATATATGATGGTACCAAAACTTAAAGGCCAAGATTGCAACATAATATTTCCATTTTTTTAGCTACAAGATGTTAGTTTAACTGATGCCCTGCTCCACGATTAGAAATTATAACA